TTGAAGTCCAACTGAAGGGATGGTCAATCAGAGCTCGTGTTTTGCCACATGATGTGCTCCACCACATATTGTTGATCTTTTCTAAACATTAAGAAATTAATGTATGCATTTTAAATAAGGAATGAAGTCTTACTAATGACCTAAATAAAACAAATTGTAACTCATTAGTAATGAATGGTGTTACTGACTTACCAAAGATAAAACCGGACGCAAACACACACTCTTGCGTTTTCAAACTAATGTCTGGCTTATGATCTTAGCAATGGGCAGGTTTCAAATGAATAACAGTGGCTTGGGTTGTATCTAGGCAAAATGTTTAATCATTGGTGGTAGAAAGTAGTTCTACCAATAAATACATTTGTGCTTTTTATGTGAAAATAGCATCTCTGGGTACAAATATGTAACCTAAATGTGTAGTAACCTTGGTATTAGTGTGATAATGCACTCCGAGCCTGTTGTTTAAAAACGCAAAGTGCATAGTTTGTCAACCCTTACATAAAGGGCCATGAAGGTAGATTTATATTGCATTATATGGATTATGTTTTTTTACACCTTATGTTACAGATTGACAGCAGATTGTCGGCATATGCAGTTCAGGCAGCCTGTTCCCCAGACAGTGACCCCTCCCTGCTGTCAAGCAATAAGTTTAAAGATGCTATCATGAAGGTCTATAAGAGCAACTGGGAGGTGGATCAAAGTTTACATTTCTTTGACCCTGAGTATCACTTTGACAACGAAACATTTGTAGAAGGTCGGAATCTTATCACCCAGGGCAGGACTATCGTTAAAAAAAGTGTGACAGAGGAGAGCTTTTCATCAGCAAGAGAAACACTGGGGAAAATATGTCACACCTTGCAGGTGAGCCACAATGTTTCCTGTTTGTACTACTATAGCTTATCGATAAGATTAGATTAGATAAAACTTTGTTTAGCTTTGTGGAAATTATTGCATACTTCTCATAGTACAAGATTAAAACAATAAAGCTTAAAATACCAAATATAAAGTACAGGTAGGAACACAAAAAAACTGATTTAAAAAATGATGTTTGTAAAATAAGGTGCTATTTCCCATAGGCGTGGTAAAGTAAGAAAGTTCCATAACTGATTATTATTCTGCCGTTCAATTTGTATGTGGAAACATTGTATAAGATTAAAGATTTCAGTACGTACTGTATTTTTGGAT